GTTCCAGGGGAATCCAAAGCCCTCTTCTGACCTCCGCAGCATTGCAAGACAAGGTGCACTCACATACATGCAGGCAATACACTCATACACATAAAATAAAATAAATAAAAAAAAGGAATATCTTCCTTGAAAAGTGAGTCTGTCTTCACGTCCTTCTCTAAAGCAGGCACATGTATTTTCAAAACCTCACATACTATTGACTCAATTTCCAAATTAGAAATATTCATTGATAGCAATACATTAAAATCTATTACACACATTTAATAAAGATTTCAAATGTGGTGTACCACAGTAACAGGAACTGAGATAATTTTCAGTTATGAAAATAATTACCAATTTAGAGAAGGCTGGACACCAGCTGACAGTTCATAGCAGTAAACTTCTAAGTGCGATCCTTACCAAGAACCTTTGCGCTCTATCTTCGGAGCACAAATTCTCACCCCTTTTCTTTACTGCATAGTGTGTTATATGCACAACTCTGGCACTTACCAAGGTACTTGCAATGAATTCTTTACAAGACTGTGAGCTCGTAGGTGGGTCCAAGATCTCACTAATCCTGCTCTGATGTTGGCTTTGCAGTGAGCACTACTGGTCTCCTCCCAAAGAGCAAGTCCTACATTTCTCTTAGGTATGAAGCTTAAACATATTACACTTTTACTTACTTTGTGGCACCACAGTGTACAGCTGGAGGTCAGAGGATAACTTGTGGGGATCACTTTTCACATTCCACCACATGGGTCACAGTGATTGAATTCAGGTTGTCAGGCTTGGTGGCAGACTGAGGCACTATCAACAGCTTGAAACAGAGAGCAGGCCTGTCCATCAAACATGAAGGATGAATCAAGAAACACAAAAAATTGGCTTTAGTTTAGAGTGGGTGTTTGCTTGTCCAAGGAGACTCTGGGTGTGTGTGGAATGCCTAATTGGGAGATTCTGGAAAAGATTTCTTTCTAATAAAAGCCTCCTTGGGATGAATGAGAATATACTTTAGCCATGGAAGCTGTGTAGTGACCATGAGGTAGCAACACAGAACAACCAAGCTGTTGATGATGCAGCCGAAACACAGAAAGCCAAAATGCACCCTTGCAAATCCAGGACTGAACACCTTGAACCTTCACCACTTCCTTCTGCAGAGGAGAGGTCTCTTTCTGTTGCCCAAACTGTTCTCCAACCACTAGGCTGAGGCAATTCTCCTGCTCAGTCTCCCGGCATGTGGGACCAGAGGTACATGGTACTACCTGTGACACTATAATTATTAAGCTGAACATTAGTTTAGGTTTCCCTTTTGACTCAAGGCAGCATGAGGCTGTCATACTTAAAGAACACACACACACACACACACACACACACACAGAGAGAGAGAGAGAGAGAGAGAGAGATCACTGCTTTCATCTTGAGATTACAGACTACCTTAGTGTTAGTTTCCTTTCCAAATGCTTTAAGTTTGCATAGCCTGGGAGTCTACTCCTGTAGTTTACCAATCCCCCTTTCTCCATTTTACACTTTTATTTTTATTTATGTGTATGTGTATTGCCAGCATGTATATAAGTGCACCCATGTCATGTAATGCCCACAGAGGTCAGAAGAGGGTGTCAGATCCCCTCGAACTGGAGTTACAGACTGTTAGCTGTCACGTGGGTGCTGGGATTCAAACCCATCTTCTGCGAGAGCAGTGTTCTTAACCACTGAGCCATGTCTCCAGCCCGTCTCTTTTTTGTAATTGCTTCCACTTGTCTAAACATGGGGCTCCAGTTCTGGGGTGATAGTGTGGTTGTCCCAGATCTAAATGATCCATACATTGATGTGGCTGTTTGACTCAGAACATGCCTGTGATATGTTAAGAGTCCCAGATATTGGTTCTTGCCGATTCAGTTTCAAAAGTGACCAAATTCCATCCCAGAGCCTGGCTTCTTTGTAGGAGTTGAAATTTCTTTTAAAAATATTTTATGTATGTGAGTGTTTTCCTGCATGTATATAAGTGTACCCATATCATGCAATGTCCACGGAGGTCAGACGAGGGCTTAAGATCCCCTGGAACTGGAGTTACAGATGGCTCCCATCTGCCATGTGGGTGCTGGGAACGAAATCCGAGTCCTCTGCAAGAGCAGTCAGTGCTCTTAACCACTGAGCCATCTCTCCAGCCCCCAAGGAGTTGAAATTTCTAGCTGTTTCTGCCTACTTATGGCCAAGGTCTGGCTTACAAGTTCAGAACACTTACCATTCTGTATTTCTGTCATGGAAATGCCTTATATTGCATCTGAACATACTTGGCACTTGAAATTTCTATTTGTCTATTCAACGCTCCTGAAATACAGCTACCTACAGAGCCCCCAACCTGACATCTGAAAGCAAATACCATGTGAGGGGACAAAAGACGGCGTCAGGGACAACATAAACTACGTCAGGCAGCACTGGCAACAAGTCCTAGGTGAGCAGCAGGGTTCCAGGGAGCCCAGAGAGCCATGTGTGCTTCTGGATCTGAGCAAAGACCAGAAGCACTGTGTGCTGGGGGGATAAATGTGCGCTCTACACCCCTAATGGCAGAAGACCAAGGGAAATGTAGCTTTGGCTATGCACCTATCAGATGGCAAATGTCACCAGAAACAGCCCTCGCAAATCATCTTAATAGCCAGCTGGTTTAATATAAAATCTTTAATTGTTTTTGAAAACATTTAAAAAACAATTTGAGCACTTTTAATAAAAAAAGAGAACTGAAATGCTACTGCAATAGTCAACTACTGTGGTTTCAGCAGGTACAACAGACAACAGAACACTGGGGAAACCTGACTGCACTAAATGGAAACATGAAACGGCCTGTTTTTGTCATTTACGGTGTAGTAAAGCACACTGTAGTACAAGACTATTATCTGAACCTCAGATGCACTGCACGAAACACACTCTCCTTTTCAGTTCATAAGTCAGTGCTTATTGCAATTATCTGCAAAATTACTTCATGAAGTCTTCTCATGATAAACAGTATGCAAAATGTTTTAAACATCAAAACAATGAAGAAAATCCACGAAAAGAACATATTCAACTAAGCAGAATTAGTAAACATTAAAAAAGTAAAATAACTTGTGAATAACTATGCTTGCCTGGTTAACACAGAACCAGTCTCAATACAGCCAAGAGGGGAAAAAAAAAGTGGTTACAGGAATACCTAGTACTGTACAAGGTAAGTCAATAACACTCATGCACATTTTGTGATCGTGTATTAACATGGTGAAGCAAACTAAACTTAATTCTTCCTGCTGTAATATTCTCATGTAAGAGAATAAGAAATAGAGATATCTCATTGAGATCAATGCACATTGCTACATAAGACAATTTTATCTGTCACTTTGATGACATTTTGTCTTTTCATAATGAAACACATTTAAAAAGTTTAATCTGTGGACTGTACTGGTTGCATTTATCCTAAGAGATGTGCCTACCACAGGTTCAACAAATTTAGTGCAATATATGAACCCCAGAAAGTTTGCTGGACAAATTCAGCCAAATTTGAAGAGTTTGCTGCAATGCTGTATAGGGGGTAAAAATCCTCCAGTCTCTATATTTTTATCAAAAAAGATTTTCATTATTTTTATATTAGTAGGAAGCTAATAATGTAAACAAGGGATCAGAATGGCCTCAAAGTCTCCTATTCAGAGCATCTTATAGAGCAAGGCTCCCACCATTTTAGAAGAATCACACAGTTTCCTTTGGGTATTGCATACTTTGGTGTGCAGTAGTGCTGTGTCTCAATGTACAGTGAAGAAACAACTAGTATCAAGAGGAAAATCTAACAAATCATTAAATCAAGATAACAGCAAACACACATATGCCTGTAAGTAGGACATACCAGTATAGAAACCTCTGAGCCAACTCTAGCACCATTTATTTTTTAATATATGTAAATACCCTACTTTTAAAATTTGCTGAACGATGGAACCTTATTGACTTATACCTTTCATCATATTTGTTAAATAATCATTGACTGTAGTCTTCTGATTAGTTTTTGAATTAAGGTAAAGAAAAACTTGGCTAGGTTCAAGAGTGTAGCAAATGGTTTAATGTTAGCTTTAAGAGCTTAAGGTTAACTTTAAAATCTCTTTGAAAATGATCTTGAAACTCACTTAAATGGAGCGTCAACTAGTTTTGTGTTAACATGAAATTCATAAATACTGTTCTTAAAACAAAATGGGAGCCATGGAGAGAAACTTTTTAAACAAATCCTGAGTGTTTCACTTCTTTTGCAGTTATGTCCATCACAATAAATAAGTTAAGTGTGTACTAATGCTCCTCCTCTTCAAGTACTCTGATTATCTTCCCCTGTTTGATCGGAGATGTAAAGGTCTGCAGCTTCAGACCTCAGGTGATGAAATGCTTTTTGCTCGGCTCTTAAAGTGACCTCTTGCCTGCTTGGTGTCTTGTAAAGGATCCATGATCAAAGTGCATTACTAGATTCAGAGAAGCAAAGGAGTATGTCAGGAAACTGAGAAAAAAAGCTGATTACCGAAGGATATCAGAGTGAAAAAAATTAAATCTGAAGTAGACTTTTAATATGTACATGTAGCCATGAAACAAAGAAAAAGCTCTTATGTTCCTTCTAACACTTCCATCGCAACAAGCAAATAATAAAATGTGAGTTTTCTAACATGCTTGTACGTCTACTAGATGTCAGTGTCTAGAGTTTGTGTGTGAGTGCCATGAAAGAAAATCAACCTTTAGAGCCAGACTAATGCAATGTCACAAATAAATGGCTACTAGTTTTCCTCTTAAACATTTTAGTGCAGCTTTTATTTTCCCTAAATTACTATTTAGTTTTCTATTATTTTCTCCTATGTAAGCCCTTCACTGTGGGAAGAAACAGAACTGAAGCCCTAGAAAGTCCTACAGAGATTTTTCATTCTATGGTAGCTGTTTCAAGCCTAAATATTTATAATAACCTGAATATTATCCCTGTCTCAAGGAAGACTTTCTTGCCTGCAGTTTACCTTAGTTATGATTTCATACCTAAAAGATAATGCCAACAACAAAACAGTTTATTCCTAAAAATTGATGGTTTCTTTTAAATTCTGTGTGGATCAACTGATAAATTAAAATGAATTTATACAAAATAAAGACCCAGACTGCTCTGGTAGAAAGCTGGACAGTCAATTCTTTACTAACAAATGTGATTAAATGGGGAACATTATAAAATTTAAAACCTAATACTTGTTCTACAGCCTACTGTCTTCAGAAACTTGTTTAAGAACTGAGGCATGTCTAACCATTTCCTACTGAAGAAACCACTTCTGCAGCAAACGCTTTTAAAATGTCACAATTAATAGTAAGTGTTTCTGCTGCGGGAGGCACTTCCATTAAGACAAATACAATACATATGTCTTTAGATACAGTGTGCTACATATTATAAAACACAATTTATCCCAACATTTCAACAGTAGGATGGTCCTTGCTTTCTATCCATTCAAAACCTGACGAAGTCATCGAGTTCACCGACTCACTGCAAATTTGCTGAAACAAGGGGTCATTCTTTAGTTCTTCCAGTGTAGCTTCATCATCCTGTCCCTGCTGACGACCTGGATCAAACAGCAGATTTGGGTCTAAGGTGTTCAAATCATTGATGCTGCCTGAGAGGTCAGAAGACAACCTGATGTCGTTAGAGAAATCAGATGCAGTGTTGGTGAGATCAGATGCTACCTGACCTCCCAGCTGCTGGCTGGTTTGCAGGCTGTCTCCACTCAGCAGGTCTTTAACAGTGCTATTGAAATCTAATTGCTGTTCTCCAATTTCAGATTGTGCTTGATTATCTCCAGGAGAAAAACTGATCTGATCGGTGCTATTACTTTTGGTGAGGTAAGATGGTGTTTGGAATTCATAAACAGAAGTGCTGGAATCAATCATATTTTGTGAATTGGCACTAGGAAAAACGGGGGAAGTTTCCAAAATCTGAGTGAGATTCATCCGGGCTGTGTAATTTGAGGGCACATTGTTCATTCCCAAACCTCTCAATGCATCATCGTTGTCAGAATCAAGCTTACTCAACAAAACATTGGTTATTTTTTTACTGTTCGTTTGCTTCTGCAGAGCGTTTGGGAAGGCTGTCTGCATCATGACCGTCAATGGAACCGACTGACTTCTTTGAGCTATGTTGTTGGCACATACATCTGTGTGAACATTTGTGAAAACATGAACTTCTGGGGCTAGTGGACTTCCAAAGGGGGTCACATTAGATCGTGGGATATTAGACACGGGATAGAGGGTGCTTCCACTAAGATTTCGTTGGCGATGGACAGCAGGGCTCACACTCCGGCACCTGAAGTTGCTGCTGGCAGATGAATTAGTTCCTTTATTATCAAGAGGGGCGGGGACTGCAAACCCTTCTTGCTTGTTGGTGTTTACAGTGGCACCTTGATGCTGCACAGGAGAGACGGGAGTCAAACGTCCAAAATGAGTGTCATGATGTCTGGATTGAGACTGATATGACTGTCCAGGCACAGCGAAAGCATGAGGTTTCCTGAAACGATCTTCTACTAGTTCCTGATAGCTTGGCAGAATGCCATGGCCAGAAACCGTGGAACTGCCAACCCCACCGTACCCATTATTCATCCATTCAAGCTTGGTTTTATCAGGGTGTGTGGCCATGGGTCTCTGCATTGGTTTCACAGGACTGCTTGAGACAATGCTGGCATCATGATACGCCATACTGGAGCTTATTGGAGTGAATGCAAATGGATTCCTGCATTCAACAGGGCTGGGAGGAACGCTACTGCTGCAATTAGAGTGTGGAGTACCAATGGGTGTGTGTCGGCTACTTCCTAAAGCACTATCCACAGGTGTTGTCTGGGCGAGCCTGGAGCAAGGGCTCTCCCGGGACAGACTCTGAGACCCAGCAATCATTTCAGATGTTGGGGTTGGCGTGGGGGTTGGGGTTGGTGTAGGTGTAGGTGTGGGTGTAGGTGTGTGAATTGGAGTGCCATTGCTATGGACTGGATGATAGAAGTGGGTGCCAGAGGCATGAGAAGACATTGGAGCTCCTGGAGTTACTGACTGACTCTGAAGGGTCATTCCCAAGCAGTTACTGTAAGTGTGTGAATTATTCATGGACATCTGCTGCTCCATAAGCACCAGCTCTTCCACAATGCTATCTTGTGTAAGTTCATCATCAAAAGGAAAGTAGCTTTCATTTGTCTGGGAAACAGAAGACTCAAACTCCTTCAGTTCGGGCTGCAGAGGTAACTGATCTGAAGACTGTGCTTGTATTTGATTCAAAGAAGAGTCAGGAATCTGGCTATGTAGCTGCTGGCTATATGTGTCCTGTGGCATTCCTTCTAACTCCCAAACAGACTTCTCCAACTCGTGGATATCAGAATGCCCAGGAATCGTCATAACGCTGATATCTTGCTGTTGTTCACAGCTGGCAGATATGAACGCAGAATCCTTAGTGACTTGCTGCCATTCATTTGGATTAAAGCTGCCATCTGATTTTGACTCACGGTCTAAGAGAAAGACACTCCCTTCAAGTTTTACTTTTATATCTGGAGATGATGACGGTGTTGCCTGCTGTTCCAGAACCGAATCACTAGCGAGAAGAGCAGGGTTCAAGGGCTGATTTTCTAGGATGTGTGAACTGACACTGATAGATACATTGTTAGGAATCTGAGCACCTGCTGTTGGACTTTCTGTTTTCCCTGAATGTGGAACCTTTTGGTCCTTCTTAACAGTGTCTTGTTTCTGACCTTCTGTGATAGCTGCAGAAAACTGTTCCACAATTGGCTTCTTTACAGGAGGCACCTGGGACTCTTGCAGTGTAGCAGACAGTCGCTTTCTTGGACTTTTAGTGCATAATTTAGGGTCTTTATTTACTGAGTCACCATTAGATGGTGAGCTGGTGCTGGTGAAAGTTAAGTTCTGAGTAGCAACTGAGAGAGTGACAGTGCTTTGATTACTGCCTGCTGAGGTACCTGGCAGAATTTCATGACAGCGACTTTTACATTTGGTCCTCTGGTCACAGACCTTAGTTGCTTGTATTTCAATGACACCTTCATTTGAAGGTTTTTGCACTGCTCCATCGGTATTACTTTTTTGCCCCCAAAGGGCACTAGGTGTTGTCAGGGGAGCTTTAGCCCCCTCAGAATTCTCTTGGCACTGTACAGGATGCTCATCTGATGATGCTTCCGGTTCCATTTTGACTTCCACAGCAGATGTGCCCCCCGTGCTGCTGGCCCTGGACACAGGAGACTGAAGAGAGACAACAGAACCATTCTTGATTTGGGGAATGCTCCTTGATTCCTCTGTTGTTCCAGCAGCACTGGTGACCGAGGCAGAATGTTTAAGAGGAGTATTACTGTTGCTGGGTGTGAGGGATATTGTTGTCATTTTCACCACATTGAGAGAGCTCACGTGTGATGCAGGGACAACAGCTGTTTTGATGGGACTGCTAGTAAAGAGCACAGTCGTTGGAGAGCGGATGGTGAGTGCACTGGTGTTTGCTGGCTTGGGTAAGATCTGAGGATAGCGGTGCCGGGCAGAACGGTCCCCACCGGGACTGGCTGGAACATTCTGGGGAGTCTTTGGGGCCTGTTTCACAGACTGCATGTGCTGAGTGACGACCTGCACATTGAGGGGAAGAACCTTGCCATCAGGAGAACTCATCGGACTTGGTGAAGTTACCAACTGTCTGGTCCGCTGGACCTGCAAAAAGGCAGAGAACAGAAAGTCCATTTTAACAAGTTTAGGACAGAACCAGTAATTTGTACACCAGCACAGCATTAAAGTGTTTAGTAAATGTTAATGTTAAAAAGAAAGGAAGACAGCCTTCATGTTAGAAGAGTTCTTCTGCATCAGTTTGTACACAGGCAATACTGTAACAAATGCTTACAATAATGTAACATGCTTATAAAATACAACACATGGGAAAAGACTATGATACTTGTCAGTTAACAAGACTAAAATCTTCACTCCTATGATGAATACTGGCCTAAACAATGATTCAAAGGTTATAAAGAGAAGAGATATAATTGTGAAGAAAGGTAAACTCTGAAGGATCCAGTGGAATCTATTCTGAGAGGATGGCTCACTTAAAAGGAGACTCTTGGAAATGGGTCTAACCTGGGCTTTAATAACTAACCACTATGGATGAGGTCCTAGACAAAACCACTGTTTCCCTAAGTCTGCTCTACAGTGAATAGTATGGTCACCAGCTATGGGAAATTTTCATGGAATGGCGATGAAGATAGTAAGAACCAGAGAAAACATCTCCTTAGTACCAACACCAGCAATAACATAGTAATCACACTTTCATTTTAAGAGCCCCTTCAATGTCAGTTGTATGAGACAGGAAGATAAGAAACAACTCCTATTTGTAGAAAAGGACATGAACTCGGAGTCCCTAAGTCCCTGCAGTGTTCTACTCCTATATGTTCACTCAGCAGCCACAGGAGCAGGCTCATTAACTATCATCAATGCCACTTTGCAGTTTTGATCGACTTCCATATACAAGTTTTAGTTATTTTTTTTGACTTTGCCAGGAAATGAACCAACTTTGAAATGGATGTATTTTACATAAAATTCTGATGGGTTGGTTATATGCATTTTAAAAATCTTCATCCATCACACAATCTTACTTATGTTGGTTCTACAGTTTGCTGTATAATCAGCAACATCCTTTTGGAGTGCAAGATGAGCAAGAGGGAGTCTGAACACAAAACCATCTTATGATTGTGCCACGCATGCCCTTGTCTTCTCACCTGCCATTTTTAATTAAGCGAAGGCTTTCCCACCATCCCAGTAAGGCCACACACTATTTAATAACATTACCGGAATGGGGCTGGGGACAGCTGCCACCACAATCCCAATGGGCTGGGGAGAAAGGATCGCAGGGTTCCCATTGGGCAGGTTAGCCACTCCGTTGGCTGTGGTGCCATCTGATTTTTTGGCTGAGGATTCTCCTGGCGAAGGGGATTGTAGTTTCTGCTCTTGCTGCTTTTTTTGGATTTTCCGTTGCAATTGTTGCTTAGCGTCAATTGGAGACGGCAAAGTCTTCACTTGAGGCTGAAAGGAATGACTTTCAGCTGTAGGTATAAAAGCAGAAGGCGGGGGAATTCCTTTGCTTCCTGGACATAAACACAAAGGAAAGCTAAAATGAAGATTCTCTTTTGTGGAAGGCAGCATTACATGGTTTCTTTGACTATGTAGCCATCTACTGGACAAAACAAAACAGCAAATTTTAACTCAATTTATCTACAAAGCAAGGTTTTAGATTTCCATTTATAAACTTTTGTCTAGAAGATTTTGACAACTTAAAATATGGCCACAGGACATAAACACAAAGGAAAGCTAAAATGAAGATTCTCTTTTGTGGAAGGCAGCATTACATGGTTTCTTTGACTATGTAGCCATCTACTGGACAAAACAAAACAGCAAATTTTAACTCAATTTATCTACAAAGCAAGGTTTTAGATTTCCATTTATAAACTTTTGTCTAGAAGATTTTGACAACTTAAAATATGGCCACAGCTTCAGTTAAACCAACAACAGACAATTTTAAAGATTAGTTATATCATAAATATGGGGGTATTAAGATAAAAACCTGCTAACATGGCATTTCTACTTGTATCTGATACTAGCAAATTTTCTTATACTTTTCTGTAATTATAATGAAACTTATGTCATAATTTTAATATTCAGTCCATAAGGAGAACTCAATAAATATTTGCTGACACTACTTAGAAAAATTTGCAGGGAAAACAAGTTTTTAATCTTACCAGAAATTCACAAAAATATGACCCATTACTTTAATTGTTACTTTATGATTACTCCAGTATGACCTAGAGAAATTAAGAAGCAGAATTTCTTAGTAAGACTAAGGTTAAGACATTCTGAAAAGTGTCACTGAGAAAACTTTTTAAAGAGTAGCAAGATAGCCAGAAAAACAAAAAGGAAAGACAAAATAAGCAAAATATATATGAATTTTAAGAAAAACTAAGTAAGTAACAACTTTAAAAAAGCTCATTTCCAGGGCGTGGCACTAAGGTAATTAAGAAGGAGCTGTGGGAGGAAAACACTGCTGGCCAGTGGGTGTACCTTGCCTTCCTTTCCTGGCCAACTTCTGCTTTCCACCACTCTAGTTAACAGTGGAGGCTTGGTGTAAGTCGGGGAGGAGGACTAAGGAAGCTGGAAAAACAACACTGGACTCTTCCACAAGCTCTTGTTAGTAATCCCTCATCTTTCAACCCTCTCTTTTCTTCTAGAGCATTTAAAATTGTTGTAACATTATTGCTTTTCTCTTGAAACCCAGCCACAGTGCTGCTTCTGACCCAGGCCTCCGCTCCCTTCCCAGCACCTGCACCAGGCGCCTCTGCCAATGGCTCAGCGCTCATTGTCTTGTCCTCCTGCCAGGGTTTCTGGACAGCAGTGACTTCCAAGCAGCTGACTTACAAAAAGGACATTTGTAACACAACCTGTCCTTAACATGGAGACTATATTTATAAGAAAATTAGTTTGCCTTCAAGAGATTAAAATTAATTTGCCATCACAGATACTCTTTTAAAAATGTTGTCAGAGCTGAGAACAAAATTTCAAGAGATTTGAAGTCTTTCTGTCTGGTTGCTTTTGTTTTGAGACAAGGTCTCCCTGTAGCTCCAGGAGGCCTGGAATTCACTGCTATTTAGACCAGGCTGGCCTCTCGCACAGATATCTATCTGCCTGCCTCTGTTTCCCTAGTGTGAGTGCTGGAATTAAAGGTATGCACTACTGCCAGGCTGAAGTGTTTCAAATAATAATACAACAGGCAAAATGCTTAGCCTTTTCATAATTGTTTTAGAAAAATGGAGAACACCTGTTTACATGTATAATTTTTAGTACTTTCATTTCAAAGACTCCTTTACACTTACATCTCAAAAATTCATTCTTTTGCTTTACCCACATTGTACACAAGGAGCTGCCTCTTTTCTACATGAGGGCATCTAAGACCTCCACAGGAGTCCCTTCTCCACTGTTAGTGGGGTAGAAGGGGATCACAGAGACATTCAGATGAAGCCATGCCTTTGAAAGTCTTATTCTGCTAGAAGGTAAGATGGCAGTATGAGATGACTGAGTCAACCTGGCCTTCAGAGACAGAAAATTAGGATTCAATTCCTAGCTCCACTACTTATCTGTTTCCTGGAATGAGTAACACTCATTTCATAGGACAGCTGAGGGAGGGAATAAAGGAAGGGAATGCAAGTGAGCTACTCAGCTGCACGCACTGGATGATCAAGCACTCTCATCTTCAGTCCAAGGTGAAGTGAACAGGCAGGTTTACGACATACAGCTTACATGCACAAAGGAAAAATCATGACCAGCTATTAGATTATTTTGCTGATACTGGTTCTTAACTGACTGTAAAATGAGGAGGAGCGATTACACATACACACACAGACACACACACCCCACAGACACTATAATTCTCTTCAGGATAAATGTATTACAGATCTAAAAAAAATTAGATTTAACTTAGAATTCATGTTGAAAAAAAGTTTCATGTCAATATACTTCAAAGAAGTGATTTTCTAGAATAATATATTTTCCTCTTCTATACATTATTAGATACGACTGAAATACTGCATTTAAAAAATTAATTGTAATTGATACTTTACAGTCATTAATTTAGGAGAGGGTTATCTATTCCAATAATGATGTTAATCCCTAAAACTGCCAATTCCCAAAACTTCTCTTCGAATTAAAATTGTCATTTAAATTTCCATAAAGTCTCTCTTGATATTTTATATTAGTAATACTTCAAAAAGTTTGTTTTTCATGATACCAGGTAACTAACCTATCACAATATTCAAAGATCACTTTATTTATAAGCTTAACTTCTGGAGTAGAAGCCTAGTATATAAATTTAAAATTTAGTCTTATTTATTTTACTTCTAATATTTTATTATTTTAAACAAACACAGACTTAAAAGTATATATTCTTTATGTTTAAAAATAGCCACGGGGGGCTGGAGAGATGGCTCAGCAGTTAAGAGCACTGATTCCTCTTGCAGAAGACCCAGATTCGATTCCCAGGACCTGCATGGAGGCTATGAACCGTCCTTAACTCCAGTTCCAGGGGAATCCAAAGCCCTCTTCTGACCTTCATGGCACGACACGACACGACACGGGTGCACTCACATACATGCAGGCAATGCACTCATACACATTAAAAAAAAAAAAGCCACGGAAATAAATATCAGCAGAGCAATATACAAAAGTATAGATAGGACTACACTAAAATGATTATTGCTTTTATTTTGTTAGCATAATAAGACCATCTGCATTATGGGGCCGGAGAGATGGCTTAATGCACACTCTTGGGTCCTGTCACAGGACCCAAGTTCAATTCCCAGCACCCTTATCGGGTGGCTCACCACCACCTTTAACTAAGGTCCAGGCGATCTGATGCCTTCTAGTTTCTACAGGCACCTGTAAACACAGGTGCACTGTGTACATACACACAATTTAAAAAGTAGATCTTCAGCTGAGGCTACAGGGAAACCCTGTTTCAAAAAGACCAAAAAAAAAAAAAATCTCTTAATGTAAATAAGAAAAATGAAACCATCTCCATTTAGTGTGATATGGAGCAAAAACAGACTTATACAGAAGCTCTTTGGGCAAACTCTTTAAATTAAAACACATTTATTTATTTACTTATGTGTGGGTGTGCATGTTTTGGAGTGCAAGTGGATCAGAGGACAACTTGCAAGAGTCAGTTCTCTCCTTCCATCATGTGTGTTCTGGGGCTCGAAATCAGGTCATGAGGCTTGGCTACAAGTGGCTTACCTGCTGAGCCATCTCGTCGGCCCCAAACTCTCCTTTTGCTATCAGCTCTAAATAGAGCAGTGCTGTCAGTTTCAGCTTAGTAATTCCATACCTGCTGGTGCTGCTGCCATCACAGTTAGAGCTGCCATTGACTTGGTGCCTATGTAATGACTTTTTACAAGGAAGCGGGCTAATTCCAAGACTGTGTCAAATGGCTGGCTTAGTACTTTCTGCGCCCACTCACACACAAGGCGGCAAGCAGAAGAGATAACTTCCTCATCGATATTTTGAAGCTGCCCAGAAGGTTCAGCTCCTTCCAACTAAACAAAGGAAAGGAAAAGTTACCTTAAAAAAAAAAGTTTAGTGAACGAGAGAATACCATTATTGTTTTTGGTAACTACTTATTTCATCATAAAATTTCTAATACTCTAATAAAACTTTTAAAAAGTTCAGAGAAACTAAATCTAAGTACTTCAAAGATATCTTGAAGTACTTATTATTAGGAGACGCATTATAACTCTGTGAGGTCAAAGCAGTATGAAGTACCTGCAGACAGACATGTAACAGCTGTGCATATAAGAGACCCACACCCACCAGCATAGAATAGCCCATCAACAGCAGGCCTACTACAACCATTCTAAATGGCAGCTAAACACAAACATATGTTTTTGCTATTTCTTTTGTTTTTGGTTTTTTTGAGACAGGATCTCACTATGTAGCACTGTAGGGAACACTCTATGTAGACCAGGCTGGCTTGGAACTCAGAGATCCACCTACCTCCACCTTCAGAATGCTGGTATTAAAGACATGCACCACCATGCCCAGCCAGTTTTTGGTATTTCTAAAGCTTTTGTTATGGTCAATAAAATAAACAATGTTACTCGGCAGCCATGTTTTTTTTCCTCTAAAGCAATTATACTGCAGCTGTTCTGCAACTTCTTTATACACAGGAGCACAGACAATACACATTATGGACACATCTACAAATCAGTAATTTGAAGTCTTTGTCCTGCCCAATCTCATGCTGAAGGTCATTCTTGTCTTTTGGCCACTGTTGATGGTATTTCCCATCTCTTCTCACTTACTGTAAGAGGAACAGTTCCCAGTCCTAGGTTCTACACAACGAGATTGCATATGATGCATTTCAATTTTGACAAAGGCACACTTCTATTTTAGAAGTCTTACCCCGTCTCCAGTTTTGTGAAAGTCAAGGTTGGGCAGTGTTGGCATATGAACAAAAGCTTTTTTTCTTAGTCCACTGTAGCAATATGTGATACATAGTTAAGGTTGAAAATGCTTTAAATTAAATGGGGTGCCTTGTATAGACAGCACTGGAGAAATAATTACATGAAATGAGAATAAAATCATCATGAGATAACATCTACTCTGAATTCTTCAGTAAAAAATTCTTACTACTAAAAACTCAAGATTCTTTCACTGTTTCAAAACTGGAACAGTTCTTGTAAATGAACTTAAACGAAATAATTCTCATCTGTTATAACTTTTGTGAATAAATGTTCCTACTATGTGGTGCCAGCCACCAGTAACAAACAGGTCAGAAGAGAAGGAATCGCCAGATGGAAACCTGGCACAGAGAGGGGAAACTTGAGCCCAGGGCACCAAGACAAAAACAGCTTAGGAGTATCACAAGGGCTTTAACCTTTTCATTTCTCTTTTTTCCACTGAAACACACAGGATTATCACCTCTAACATGCCAAAGACACATCAAGACTTTTTTGTCTGTATTCAGGTCATGTAGCAAGTGTTCAAGGATACCCGGGACTACTTTAGAAAAGCAGCTCCCCTGGCCCCCATCTCTTCCACAGTAGCTAATTTTATGTCTTGAAAAAGGACAAGAGCCAAGCAAGGACAAAATGAATATACTTCTAATAACAAATATTCTCTATTTTACAATCTTCTAAGAGCTAGAAAACTTTTAATAAGCTTTTGGTTTTCATCTCCTGACTTCTGTTTGCTTATACATGGTTCTGTATTACAGGGGCACCTTTTCTATGCTCTGGTTTAACGCCTGGCAGAAAAATAAAGTGAACATTAATCTTTTATTGTAAGACAAGAACTTTTTTTTGAATGTGTAATTTTCATTATTATTATTATTTTACCAAGGAGATTCCTAATATTTTTAAATTAGAGGAAGGAAGATAAACTAGCATCTTTCTTTACTTTTATTTATAGATTTTATAATTACTGAATACATTAGTTTAAAATTTCCATTGTTAAACCACAGGAGATCAGATAATAATAATGGTTCTGCGGTTAAGAGCTACAGGGGACTCAGGTTTGGTTCCCAGCAGCCACATTGGGCAGTTTACAACCATCTGTAACTCCAGTTCCAGGGGATCCAACACCTTATTCTGGTCTCCTTGGGCACCTACAGGCATGTGGTGCACATACATACATGTAGACACTCATACACATAAATGAAAACCAAATAAAAGTTTGAAAATTAAAGTAAAAAATATAAAAATCTATCTGAATCCTAATAATCTCATGAACCACTTTATGTGGTTTGATAATAGCTAGGGAAATAACATTGGCAGTTATTCTACTAGGACTTGTGGGCTGTTTATATTCGCATTTATTTCTAAATATAGTTGCCAGCTGAACTACAACAGCAGATGTTCTACAATAAGTGAAAACCAAGAGTTTACAGACAGCATTCTAATAAAGGATATTTAGATTTGCCTCTAGTGCCCAAACGACGTGCCTTCATGTTTGGAAAGACATTTTTCATGATCTTTCCAAAGTCAGCAGCACTTAATGGATGGTAGCCAAGATTGTCACAATAGCTCCTGCAAAAGAAGGAGAGACCAATTCATAGACAGAATTCAGCATTATACAGTATGGTGCTACTACCATATAATTTGATCCCTTTGACAAACAGGAGCAATGGATCTTCAAGTAATTCATGTTAATTTTCAAATCATCACTCTTTGGAGCCTCATGCTAACTCAGATGTAATTTGCTGGATTCACTCTAAGGGTATATACAACACTGCTTTCAATAGCATATGGGAAATTTGCAGTAAGACAAAACATTGGTTAAAAGTTTTCCAATCTACTCCAACTCAGTTGGGCTGTAAGTTTCCAAATACAAACCAGGTTCACACATAGAGATAACGTCCAGTTTCACATCTTTTGATGGACATATTACAGATAATGCCATGAGATGGCTTAAAATTTTGAAACATGATATATGAAACTAAAAGTGACCTTAGAGATCATCTACACCACCACTTTCATTTCACTGATAAGGTTAACAACAAGGGCAATAAAAAGTTCTGAAGGGCTGATGTCTTTAATCTGCAAAAGCTTACAATTAGAAACGAATCCAAAACTTGTATAGTATAGGCCAATTCCTGTCATAGGTATAAATGATCCTACTGTTAAATAATGGGTTACCTCATGTGAGCATGTCCCCTGACAAGGACAGCTCTATTATGAGGTGGCATATACAAATTTCAGTGTTTCTAATTATGAAAAGAAAAGTAATTTCATTATTACCCATTGGGAAAATCTAAGTACTCTAACATTTAGTTTAGGGAGTATTAACAGGGTATACCTATTCATAATTTTGAAACCAGTTCTATACTACAAGCCATCAGCCATGTGAAAGTGCTAGTTTACATCTCATTTTCCTGCTTTAACTGCAGAGTTGATCAAATGGTGTCAACTAGCAGCTAACTCAGTGTTAAGATTATATTTATGCAAGACTCAAAAGTAAAGAACAAAGAATGTTCTGTTTCCAGGATACTAATACTGTAATGTCATTAGTAAAATGGGAAAATCTTTTTTTCTCTTGTTCTTTATTTAAAATTATGTCTTAAAGACTGAAAGTATGATTAATATTTAATATGACTATGAAAAAGTCACCCAAAATACATGGAATTCAGTTATTAGTATGCATTCATACTATTTACAAATTAATTAAATACCTTAATAGTAAATATTTAATGCTATAAATATAAACAAGATATTAGAAGATTGGTGGTAAATAAAGTCACAGGATACCTAACCATACCAATGTTTCTTGAGTGTGTTATAAAAAAAGCATTATTTAATCTTCCTTAAATCCTTGAGATTTTTTTTAAAACAATTTTATAGATGGGGAATTTGAATAAAGAGGTTTGGTCTAATCTAATCCATCTTACTGATTACATATTTATACTGCTAATTTACAACTGTATGCACACTGGATACTTGGAATGCAACCAAAATTGTATCAATTTTTCTAATACTTATATAGAAAAATTTATTAAGAATTATTTTTCTAATCAAAATCTTTTTCTTGCCTAGACTGACACTATTATTTTAGTGATTTTTAGTATTCATGTATTACAGATGATAACAAACACAAAAATGTAGGAAAGTCCCAAAGATATGGTTGAATAATGTTCTCTTTAGGGTGTTAATCAAATAATACATGTGCTAGGTAATCTGGGAGAAAAAGCAGGTAAAAGAAAAATAGTCAGGCACATAATCAGTTTGACCTATTAGAAATGGAACAGTTGTTGATTTGGCATGGACCCCCAAGAACGCTTCTGCAGAGCACAAAGAATAACATCTGTGACGCCTGCAACTCCCAAGTCTACTGTCTCCAGGTGTGTTGATTATGGTGTCTTCTAGGTTAGGCCTTGATCAAGGAGGTTAGAGCTGCTAGAACTATAACAGAACTCAAGTTAACATCACAGATCACTCTTAAAATCCACCTAATAATACTCATTTTTAAGTAACTATCCAATGAACAATATATCTGAAAGAATGCTTTGAGGTCAATAAAAGTAATTTAAAAGTTAAATAATCATACACACACACACACAAATCCAGCGCTTCATGCATGTTATGTAGGTACTCTACAGTTGGGCTACACCCAAGCCCTGCTGCAGGATCTGCTAAATGAGCCTCTCAAATTGCCTTTCCTTCTCATTATTTTAGCTAGTAATTCCACATAAAAGATTTATTCATGGTCAAGGATGTTATCCTGAAGGATAAGGACTTTACCCAGAAATTTATAAATGACTCATAAGCCATAAAATTCTGGATAATCATCTGAGAAATCCTCAATATTAAAAAAAAAGTTTGTGGGGACCCTCGCTGCAGCCATGTCTATAGGGCCAGCCTGAGTGCCCTGCAGCGCCTGGTGAGGTAGCTCAGACTGGAGGTGAGCATGGAGAGGGGCAAGGTCTCCCAGGCAGCTAGGCAGCAGTACTGCATGCAGAATGCCTGCAAGGGTGCCCTGGGGGTCGGTGTTCCAGCTGGAAGCAATCCCTCCCAAGAGCCCAGACTCTGCTTTGCTCTGAAGACTGTAGGGAAGAAGTTTGCACAAACTGATGAATGAATAACTCCAAATCCCAGGAAAGCAGTTTTCTACAGCCAAATGACTTCCAGATATTTCAGACCTTCTCTGTGGCCTGCTCCAATAGCCAAATTCCACAGAAATTAGTGACTTTTTTATTCAAATAGGAACCTAATGAAGAAGTAACATTTCCAACAATAAATGGCCTAGTTCTTTTGCTCAAGTATTTTATATTGAGACAAATAGAAACTGAATCACCAAATTTACTAAGCTGTATCTCTTCCAGAAGTGAGGGACTAGTGTTGCTGTGCCTGGAGTGGCAGGTATGTTTTGTTTATTGGATGTCTACATTTTAGGAAGAAAACATTTTTATTAAAAAAATTAAGTATTTATAATTTGTTGTTGCTAACATTTTTATACTATAAAATTTGTTCTTAAGAATTTACAATTTCAGCTGGGCGTGGTGGCACATGCCTTTAATCCCAGCACTTGGGAGGCAGAAGCAGGCGGATCTTTGTGAGTTCAAGGCCAGGTTGGTCTACAGAGTGAATTCCAGGACAGCTGGAGCTACAGGGAGACCCTGTAAAAAAAAAAAAAAAAAAAAAAAAAAAAAAGAATTTACAATTTCTAAGATAAGAATGTATAAATTGAAGGGAGAGAACAGGCTGATACTCTGATTTTCTAAGCAAGAAGTTGCTCATTTCTAAATGAAAATATTGTTTTATTTTTAACACGAACCCTGGGAGAAGCTTCTTAGGAAACCTGTTTGAAAGGACTGATGCTGTATTGCATGTTAGGTTGCCCCATCCTGTGAAATTGTAGTTGTACCTTTAAAAAAATGCTACATTATTTTTAAAAAAGTTTTTAATTTTATGTGCATGAAGTGTATTGCCTACACGTAGGTTAAGCGCACCTGTGTGAGTTCAATGCCCATGGACGACAGAAGAGGCTGTTGGATACCCTGGAACTGGAGTTACAGACAGTTGTTAGCTGACATGTGGGTCCTGGGATCCAAACCGAGGTCTTCTGCAAGAACATCCAGTGTTCTTAACCGCTGAGCCATCTCTCCAGCCCCTCATTATTTGTTTTTTAAAAATGTTTAAAATGTGGGGCTGGGGAGATCGCTCAGCGGTTAAGAACACTGACTGTTCTTGCGGAAGACCTGTGTTTGAATCCCAGTACCCATATGGTGGCTAACAACCATTTATAATCCAGTTCTGGGGGAGAGGGGGTCCAATGCCCTCTTTTGGCCTCTGTGGGCACTGTATGACATGGGTGCACTTACATATATGCAGGCATAACACACTCATACACACAAACTAAAAATCAATCAAAAAAATGTTTAAAATGTGACCTACATACAGAATGTTGCAAATGGTTAAAGGACAATGTGAAAATACTACAACCTAAAAAGAATTCATGTCACAAGTATTTTATTTGAGTGATGTGCCTTTAATTTGGGACTCTTTTACATGGAAACTTACTTTGTGTTTGTAATCTCTGAAGAGCCTGGAAATAAAATTTTTGCCTAATTAAACACACACACGCACATAAGATTTGTGCTCTATTAATTTTAATTTATTTTATGCATGTGTATGTATGCACATGTGGGTGCATGTGTAATGGTATATATGTAGAGAGGTCAGAGGACAACTTGTGGGTTTGTTCTCTCCTTCTACCATGTGGTCCCTAGGACTGAATTCAGGTTTTCAGATTTCACAGCAGGTACCTTTACCTGCTGAGCCATCTTGCTGGCCACCAAATTTGTGTCCTTAAATTTTTAATTACATGAAAAGGTACACGCTGAAGGAAGCATTAGTGTCTCACTGCTGCTTTGGGAAGAGATATTTACAACAACTACTTTTGGTCAGTTTGGACTGTTACTATTTTTTGAGCAAAGACAGACAGACACACGCATGCACACAAACACAGATATGCCAAATATGATGATCATACGCACATGACACAAACCTTCTCTATACAGATGCTTTCATTTCTGGATTACCTCAGTTTTTGTTTTAAATCAATTAAATGTAGAATGCTTACATTATGACTATATGCATAAACCCCATGTATATTAGAAACTAATAAAACACTTTAAGAAGGAGACCTTGACCCACAGTAAGGAAGCCACCTAGAAGGTGGTCTAACTTGACCTAGAGCTTGCCCAGAGTAAAAATTCTTCTCCTGGGGAGATGAGAGTGGAGAGCTATCCAGAAACAATTATAGACAAGGGTCTCCTTTGTAGCTGCCTAAGACTACAGGTAACAGTGGCAGTAAACTGTAAACTAATCAGAAAGCATAGAGAGAATAAGACAGATGGGAAGTTCTGAAAACTTCTAACAGTCCTGAGACTCTAGAAGCCTGCACATAAGTGCTGTGTACAGCCTCAAGAAAGGCTTGAGAAAGTCCCAACTCCTACCTCTAGCTAAACAGGAAGCCCCCCAAAAGCAGAAAGTGAAGGTGAAGGACAGTTAAGTGCATGACTGAGGACTGACACTGAATCCCAATACACACTCATGGAGTGCCCTGACAGACAAGGACTGAAAGAACGATTGGTTCCAGTTGCTTGATGAAATCTTTGCCTTGTTAGCTTGTTACAGTTAAGCTACGGAGATTTCAATAGGTAGACATAACAAATAATACAGTGCAGTTCAGATAAGTCACTGAGGAAATTATTATTCCACTAAGCAGCTAACAAATATTAATTACCATTAAGAAGCAACAACCACACTTCCTAGGCAGGGGTTGAATCTAATTTCCAGAGTGCCATACTATATAGCTTTAAATGTCCAATTTGCAACAAAGATTATTGGTGAGACATATAATAAATCAAAATCACTGTCTTGGCTCTTACACAGGAAAAAAAAATTGAATCATCTATTTAAAATATACTCAGAGTTGAAATCAAATCTCATTAGACAGCAAATATCAATAAAAGGACAGAAGTTACATTCATGAATAAAAATTAGTTATATAATACATAATAAAATTATGTTATAGTGAAAATGAGTATTTGAAACTCTAGAGTTAAAAAATACAGTAATTGGAAAGAAAAATTCAATAGAGGGTTTCAAGAGCAGAACTCAACCGATCTGCAAATTAACTGCTCAAGATTGGAACTGTCTCTAGTCTTCTCAAACAATATGATATTTCAGTCTCTTTTGTTTAGGAAAAACCTTTGACATTTCTTGATTTCAAAGAAAAATTCAGAATTACATAATAATAAAATACAAGCAAGTCTTGTCCAAGGTAGGACATTTTAAGGAAAATATGAACTGCTTTCATGGGCCATGGCCACATTTCTGCAGATGGAAGGTGCTGTCTCTGTTGGCAACATGAAGAGTTGCACAGGGAAGGACAGCAAAACAGCATCTGAGTGTCACGGGTTTTTATTAGTTACTACAGAAATATCATATTTATTTGTTGAATTTGTTTTTGGAAACCATCAAGATATCATTGAATAATTAGTTTCAACATTTCCTTCAGACAAGATTGTAATTTTAGAGCTCAAAGAAATCTTACACATCTTCACTTGCTTCGGATTACAGATGAGCCAAATGACAGAAAGTAGTAGTTAAAACACTTTTCACCCAGATCACAGAAGTTTGTTGACAGCATCCGTTGATTTAATCTTCAGGGTATTTTCAATGTATCACACAAGTATGCCTTGATATTTGTATTCTTTTACTGATTTCAGATTTGCTTCTTACTAGTTTCAGAAGGTTATTTCTATTGTAATTAACCTAAATGCTTATTATAAATAGACATCTTTCCTCCTCCCACCTTGATTCATTTATAGCCCAGGCTAACTTTATACTTGCAATCCCCTTGGATGCAAGGCATGCACTGCTATCGCACCCAACTATTAAACATCCATTCATCCTGGATGAGGACAGAGACTGTCAGTCCTAACATATACTCAGAGTCCATGATGGGGTCTGACACAGTGTATATTCACACTGGACCTACCATTCTTTTTAAAAAATATTTAATATTTTAATTTTATGTGTATACATCTATTGACTATGTGTAGGTAAGTGTGCCCATGTCGTGCAATGCCCACGGAGGAGAGAAGAGGCTGTTGGACCCCCTGGAACTGGAGTTTTGGATAGCTGTTAGTTTCCATGTGGGTGCTAGGATTCGAACCTGGGTCTTCTGCAAGAACAACCAGTGTTCTTAACTGCAGAGCCATCTCTCCAGCACCCCCCCTTTTAAAAATTATTTTATTTACTATGGATCTAGCATCCTTAAAAACTTGACAGGAATCCTTCTATTCTCAGGAACCCTAAAAAACCCTTTCATTCAATAATAATCTACCACAGGTGCACAGAGCTGGAAGGAATCTTGCAGATTTCTAAATGTAAGCCCTAACTATCAGCTGGATATTAACCAATGATAAAACAGTAACTACTGCCAAGTACAGTGCATATTCCCTTTAATACATCATAGCATATCTTACACATGCAATACTTACTTGTATTCATCATAGACTTCCTGTTTGGGGAGTGAAGTCTCAGGATGTTCCTCTAAGGTATTCCGAATCCAAGAAAAGGCATGCATTTGCTGTGCCCGACTAGATGACATGGCATTCTGATCACTAATCATAAAACGTAAACAAATTTTAGTTGAACTAGACAGCAATTCATTCATAATTTTTAAGCCAGGCTTAAATGTCATGCTAAAAGTATATTAAACAACCTAAATAGAACTCAGGACAAAAATCAGATAGTAATCCACATACAATGTCTACTTGTGGTTCTGAGCCATTTTTTTTTACAATTAATGTCAGACTCAAGTTACTGGCCTGCTCTATTCTTGGTATGGTTTCTAAAGCATGGTAAGTGGTGAAGAAAGGTAGTATTAGGTATTTGTTTTGGCCAAAATTATCTCTGTGTGGATATTTGCTAACTCACTTGCCTGTTCATTTGCCTATACTTACTAAATCATTGAGCTTTAAAAACAAATACTGCAATAAAATTGTTTATATTCCATTTGCTCTACTTGTTTAAAGCAGATGACATGTAGAGGTAACCACCTTCGGATCATAAAACACTCTATCTCCAGCATGGCTTGAGAGGAATCTTTTCAAAAATATTTTATTAATTTTATTTTATGTGTATGAGTGTGTTGCCTGAATGTATGTAAGTGCACCTGTGTCATGCAATGCCCTTGGGGGTCAGAAGAGGCCGTCAGATTCCCTGGAATTGGAACTATGGTCAGTTGTTAGTTGACATGTGAGTGCTGGGAACTGAACCCGGGTCCTCTAAAATAGCAGTCAGTGCTCTTATCCGCTGAGCCATCTCTCTAGCTCTTCTCCTCTGAGCTCTCTCTCTAGTGAGAGAGAGAGAGAGAGAGAGAGAGAGAGAGAGAGAGAGAGAGAGAGAGAGAGAGAAGAGAGAAAGAAATCTTAAGAGGAAAAAGAAAATGCCCACAATAACCCTTCCTGCAGCCAGTCTGTTTGCCCAGGCTAGCACATCCACTGAACAGCATTAATTATCATATGGCAGTGCCCTCTGTAAACTGATCTCAAGAAAATGGACATTACAGACAGCTTGAGGGAAGGTGTTCTACTGATTCTGACATCCACCTGAGCTTCCTAGACCAAATATCTAATTCTAAAGAAGATACTGAACAAGTTTTTAGGACACGAAATGATTAAAACAGTAATTACTAAATTTGGTCTGAAATAAGGCAAAGCAGGTAAAAGCAACAGAGTTTTTATTCCATTTCTTCCTTTGCAGACTTTTAAAGGAACGGAATGTTAGAAATATATGAATGTTGAGTCCTAGCCATTCAGGCATTTGTACCCAAATGTTCTTCAATGTAAATTTGTCCCTTGAGTCTAGCCAGCCCATCTAGAGATTTTATGTAAGTCACATTCTCCTTACCCAGCAGCAATCAGTCTCCAGTAGTTCTCAATCTAGGGCTGGCCCACACCTATCTCTCTCCTCCCCCTTGGGCCCTTGTTTAATTGAGTTGGCATGGGTCCTGTGCTCAATGCCACCATTGCCACAAGTTCACATGTGCAAGCTTCCAGTGGCCTGAAAGCCCCTGCTTCCCTGTGTTCAGGAACCAGCCCTGGCTCTTACAATGTTCTGCTCCCTCTTCTGAAATGGTCCCTGAGCTGTGGGTGGATGAGGTTCCATATAGGAATCCTGCTCAACACTCTGCAGTCTCTTATTCTTTAAAACTTGGCCAGCTGTGGCCTTCTGTGTGCATTGTACTCTGTTGTATAAGATAGATTTACTCGTGAGAGTTGAGGGATGCATTAGTTTTCTCTCTACCCCTTGTTCCGCTATGTTCCATGAGCCTTAGTTGTAGAGGTTCAACTGTAGATGTGTCACCTAGGACATGAAGTCTGGTGGGGGAATGGGGGAGGCATGGATGGGGGAGGGGCTCAAAATCTGATTAAGAAATGCTGTACAAAATTACAAAAGCTCAATAAAATATATAAAAGAAATATCATTATGAATGAAATGAATTCTGAGAAATAATTAGAAGGATAATTAACAAAACTCTTAAGAAGAGAATGAAGAGCAGTTTGTCTCAACATTTTCTCCACTTAATACTTTCAATGATGAAACTAAAGCAATATTCCTAACCTATGTTTAGCAAAGATTATAGTATTATGCTCAGTGGTATAATTTCTCTTCACTTCTTTTACATTCTATGATGTGCTTACTGATTACTAAATTAAAACCAAAGCCTTCTTACATTTCATTCTATACCATACTTACCTGTTTATTCTTTGGTATTCCATTCAATTTTCACAGTCCCACACTCCATAAATACTCTCATTGTCTATAAAACAACCCAACTTACATTTCACAGCATTTACCCAGTTGCACAAATGAATTAGTAAAAACTGCAGGTAAATACTTAGTCAAATATTATCAAAGACCAAAATCTACTGCTTTGCCATTCTGTATTCTAATAATTTTAGGATATGGAAATAAGCAACCAATCACAACGTACAAAACTTGGTGGCATCCTCTACACAATGCAACTCTAACAACGACCAAGACAGATGTACCTTTTCTCTGCACTGCTGAGACCAGAAGGCAGCTGAAGGTAGAGGTAGAGTTTCTCTAGGTCTGTAAACTTCTCAACTTCTTGCTGGTCACAAAAGATTAAAATGGAAGATCATTAAAAATGTGTTTTCCTCCAACTAAATGTATTATTTTCCTAAAAGACACTGATTGTTTAAATTTATCTAAGATTAACACACAAGCCTCCTGGATTTGGGGAGGGCTACACAATCTGTGGAAGGCTAGGAAGAGAAGTCATGACCTATGCTGGGTAAAGGCTATCCAGTGTGCACACCCTCAAGTCATACATACACCTCAGCAACCCCTCAGTTATCTCGAAACCTTTGAGAGGGAACTGACACTGATTTTAACCACTCCCAACAGCTATCAAAATACCTGAAAGCAAATCCTGAATCCATCACTCTAGAGTCCAGCCTTGGAAGACAAAACAAAAACGAGGAGGAACCCAATAGAGGGATGCTTTTGGAAGCCTTTGTCAAGAAATTCCAGTGGACTCTCATATGAACATTTGAAAATTGTCCTGTTCTGACTTTTTTCTAGTTCTCTGTATAGAACTTTTAATGTTAATTACTCTTGCCTCGACTTCTCCTTCACATCTCCTATTCATGATTCAAGGACTTTCTTTTTCCCCTTAGATATAAGTTATGCAATTTGGGATTCTTTTAGATAGACCCACTGAAGGGGCACTCCAATTGCCTCACACTGCGTAACTGTTCAGCATGGAAGAAGCCAGAGCAGTCTGCATCCCTATTCCCTAAGGGCAATTTGGGTAACCCCTTCAGAGGATGGCGTGATAAGAATAGGAGGTAGGAATTGCCTAGGCAGTTAGGGTAAAAAGACCTCAAAGAAAAGTAGCCAGTTTCTTGGCTAAAAGTCAAAATGCCCTTGGGACTGTTAGCAACATACTCTGTTCCAAAGGCCAAAAATGTCAAAAGTATTTGGGAGCTTGTATCTAATCCTTAAAAGATTTTAGGGCTACCTCTTCAGAGGGGCGAATGTTAGAGTACCCCAAAGCCCCATAAAAATAAATAAAAGAAGAAAAAAAAGTGATGGGGAGATATGGGAGGTGTTGGAAGGGAGGGAGTGGGCACGGATTTGATCAAACACCTTATATACATGTATGAAATTCTCAATGAAGTTTTTGTAAAAGTTAAAAAAAATTACAAGGGTACTAGAAAGGATTCTGATCCTTAAAGGGAGAAGTGATTTCATTGGGGTTGCCTTACCTGAATCAGGTGCAGCAGGGGCCAAAGTACTGAC